CCTGACCATCGGCCTGTCCCAGCTGCTTTCCCCCGACCTTTCCCAGTGCCCAGCCGGCCTCTCACCCTTCTTCTTTTTTCAGCTCCACCCTCATCAGCGGTTCCTGAAAACATGAATGCTCCCGTCACAAAGGTGGGCCACCCGTTCCTCTCATTCCAGCCCGAGCCACACCCCACGATGTCCCCATGCTCCCTTGGGCCCACAGCCATCTCCCGGGGGCCAGGCCTGACACCTGAAGCAGGGATGCTCAGAGGACCGCCCCAGGGCCTGGTCCAGCACTTATTCAGGGTGTGGCTCGAGGGCAGAGCTGCTACTGATGCAGGCCAGCCCTTCAAGGCCTGAGCCGGCCCTGCCTGTGCCACTGGCTTCCTTCCTCCGGTGACCAGTACCTGGGACGTAGGGAAGACGAGTCTCACCACTTGGCCAGAGGGCAGGGCCCTCAGGGGCACCTTCAGTTGCTCCTGGGGGGCATCCTGCAGGAGCATGAAAGAAGGACTAAGACTCTCTACCCTTCCTTCCCCGCAAGGACTCCACCAAGTGCTGCTGGGAGGGACAGGAACAGCGGGAGGGGGCCACGGGGTCAACGTCAGCCTCACACTCTTCCCAGTGGGCCTGACCCTTCCCAGTGGCCTGACCCTTCCCAGTGGGGCTGACCCTTCCCAGTGGGCCTGACCCTTCCCAGTGGCCTGACTCTTCCCAGTGGGGCTGACCCTTCCCAGTGGGGCTGACCCTTCCCAGTGGCCTGACCCTTCCCAGTGGGGCTGACCCTTCCCAGTGGGGCTGACCCTTCCCAGTGGCCTGACTCTTCCCAGTGGGCCTGACTCTTCCCAGTGGGCCTGACCCTTCCCAGTGGGCCTGACCCTTCCCAGTGGCCTGACTCTTCCCAGTGGGGCTGACCCTTCCCAGTGGGGCTGACCCTTCCCAGTGGCCTGACTCTTCCCAGTGGGCCTGACTCTTCCCAGTGGGCCTGACCCTTCCCAGTGGGCCTGACCCTTCCCAGTGGCCTGACTCTTCCCAGTGGGGCTGACCCTTCCCAGTGGGGCTGACCCTTCCCAGTGGCCTGACCCTTTCCAGTGGGGCTGACCCTTCCCAGTGGCCTGACCCTTCCCAGTGGGCCTGACCCTTCCCAGTGGGCCTGCCCCTTCCCAGTGGGACTGACCCTTCCCAGTGGCCTGACCCTCCCCAGTGGGGCTGACCCTTCCCAGTGGCCTGACCCTTCCCAGTGGGGCTGACCCTTCCCAGTGGCCTGACCCTCCCCAGTGGGGCTGGGGGCTCAAGGTGAGCAGCGGGACTGTGGGAGCAGGTGCTGAGGGCAGGAGGGAAAGGCTCTGCAGCCTCACGGAGCCACGGCACATACCTGCAGGTGGATGCTCAGCTCCGGCTCCCAGCAGGCCAGGCAGTGGAAGCGGGAGGCAGTGCCCACCGAGGCCTCCTGGGGACCCTCGCAGGACCCGGGAACCACGAGCTGAACTCTGCCTTCTGACCCTGGAAACAGGAACGAGCAGGAAGGCTGGGAACAGGTCCTGAGCCCACAGAGGCCCTGGTCTTGCCTACGGAGCCTCGGGTGCTTCCCTCCCTGCACTGAGATGGGCGTCTGGCCCAGGATGAGGCTGGAGATGGAACGCCCCCCCCCCCGCACCCCCCCGAGGAATAAGGGGGAAAGCCCCTGCTCCCGCCTGAGGGCAGAGGGCATCTAGTGCAAGGCCCCCTTAGAAAGGGCTGAGGGCTCTTGCAGGGGGTCAGGGACTCACCCTTCTGGTCCCCAGCCTCCTCCAGTCGAACGTGCAAGCGGGAGACCTCCCGGGCCTGACATGAGAGAGCCCCCGACGTAAACACCGCCTGTCAGAGGCTCCCACCCGCCCAGCACCCTGGTTCTTGCTCCTCAGCCCTTTATTTCCTTGGCCTGAGGCACCAAGCACTCCCTGCGGTTGTACCCTCCTGAGGAACTGAAATCCCAGGGACCCCCATCCAGCTCCGCCCCCGACCCCCATGGTGGGCCTGAAGCTCGGGGAGGAGGACAAGCAGGTGGCTGCAGGGAGGGTTCTAGACTCACCACCAGGATGCCATTGCTGACCAGCCGCTCGGCACAGTCGGTCCTGAAAAGAGCCCCCAGCGACCCTAAGCGGGGTCCAGGTTCCCAGGTGCCCCCCCAAGGAGGCCGGGCATTCCTCCTCTCCCGCTGGATGTCCCCAGGGATGGGGTCAGCTCTAGTGCCTGCACCCCGTCCCTCCCGAAGGAAGCACGCCCACCCAGGACTGTCCCATGGCCCCCGACTCACACACTCTGCAGCCGAAATTCAACTTCCAGCTGCGGCTGCTCACCCTGAACAGAGAAAGAAACAAGTTAGAAAGGGTGAAGGGGGTTGGGGGGCGAGGGGCGGGAAGGAGGAAGTTATGGGGGTGGGGAGAGCAGATTCCAACCCAGACGCCAGCTGGGGCTGGGACCCGTGGTGGACAGTGACTGTCCATCACCAGGCTGCTCCGACCCTCTCTGGCCGCCCCAAGAAAGCTGCCCTGCGCTTAGGTGTCCGGAAAGAGGGTTGGGATGGGACTGCTTCTCAGGGGACTGTAGCTACAGGAGAAGGCCACACACCAGCCACCCTCCCCAGCATCGCCCTCCCCGGCCCTGACGCAGCCTTGCCTGAGGGCTCCCCAGGAAGCGCTCGCGGCGGGACTCCCCAATCCGCAGCGCCCCCACGTCAAACAGCACCGACAGCACGGGGTCATCGCTGGTCAGAAGGTCCTGGTCCAAGACTTGCAGTTGCAGGACATTCTGGAAGGGGAACAGAGGGAGGGGCTGCAGGAAGGAGGGTGCGCAGGAAGGTGAGTGGGGCGAAATGAGGGGCTGGGAGGGGACAGTGGCCGTGGACGGGGACAGTGAGAAGGGCCGGGGTGACTCCAGGCCCACCTTGAGCTGCCTGTGGATGCGGAAGCGAAAGCTCTGATTCCAGATGGGGTTTCTGCTGTTGCTCACTGTGCGTGTCTGCAGCCTCTGGCTGGAGGCCGTGGGCAGCCACAGAGTCACGTAGCAGTCCGGGGGGGTCACTGTGGGAAGAAGGCGCGAGCACCCGTGACGGCCAGGAGCCCGGCCCCGCCCGGCCCCACAGGCCCTTCCCTCCCCCGCAGGCCCTTCCCTCCCCCGCAGGCAGCCCCGGACGACCCGGAGACCAAGGAACGGGGCTGGGTCGGAGGCAGAAGAGCGGAGGCAGAGCCCCGACTGGGACTTCCCTCCAGTCCTCCCCTCGGCGCCCTCTCCAGGCCCCCCCTGCACGCCCAGCCCTGCTCCCCTCTCTGCACTGCCCCTGCCCACTTCGAATGCCACTGCAGCCTGTTCCCCGCCCTGGGCAGCACTCACCTAGGTCCTTGGAGGGCAGGCCATGGGCCTGTAGGACACGAATGGTGAGCAGGCAAGTCTCGGGCACCTTTGCCTGCAGAGGAGAGAGAAAGGGACAGGTCTGCTGCAGGCCGAGACCCAAAGGAGACAAGGGCCTCAGGAGAGGCTGGGGCCGAGTCCTGGACCCAAAGGCCCAGCCCTGCCCAGCCACAGGCCTGGAGGAAAGAGGCTGGTACCTGCTGGCGACCCCTGCCAATGCTTACACATGCTCTGGCCGGCTCTGGACCCATTTTGTACATGAACTCGTCTAATCACACAACCACCCGATGACCAACCCACAAGGAAATCGAAACAGGAAGACTAAGTAGGCACTTGCCCGAGGTTCAGGGCCAGGATCGGACCAGGCTCGCTCCAGATCTGTGCTCTCGAACCCCACACTAACCCGCTTCCGGGTCCTGACACTAAGTCTCCTTTCACCCGCTTCCCCAGCTCACCCTGGATGAGCAGCCCAGGCTGGTCTTGGGCAGGGGGCAGGAAAGGGACTGTCAGGCCTTGTGCCCCCTGGTTGAGTTGCACCCCCCCCCCCCCCGCCCCCATACACACACACTCTCCGCCGCTGGCCAGGGCACAGTTCTGGAAATGGGCTCTACTAAGGTGGGGACAGCAGTTACCAGATCAGACTGCCCACAGGTGGTCAAGTCCTTCAGGTCCCACAAGGTCCGGCTAACAATGGTCCTCAGGCAGCTCCCTCTAAACCCAGAACCCTGGGTCTGGCCTGTGACCCTGGCAGGTTGCCACGCAGGGAAAACCTGTGCCTGCCAACCCTTCCTTTTAGCCTCCAGCCCTGCCTCAGAGAGCGTCCTGCCTCGGAGAGCGTCCTGCCTCAGAGAGGGCCCTGCCTCAGAGAGGGCCCTGATGGACGGTGGAGTCCAGAGAAGGGCCGGGGAAGCTCGCCTAATAGCAGTGTCAGCCCTGGGCCCCCACCCCAAGCAACTGAGTCAGAGGAGCAATGGAGCAGCCACTTCCGTCTGGGGCCCCGGGACTGCGTTGCCAGGGCCCAAGTCCATGGTGCCAGGGAGCTCGGCCTGGAGCCTCTCCCTCGGGCAGGCGGAACTCAGGACAGTCCCTCATCCCAATGCCCTGCCTCTTCCCTGGCGTCTGCTCGCCACCCTGGTCCAAAAAGCCCACAGCTCTGCTGAGACAGCAAACGCCAGGCCTCGGGGGGCCAGGGGCTAGAGGGGAGCCCAGTTCCCTACCTGTCTTGCCAGAGCCATGAGGCCGAGAGTCCTCGGGAACCAGGTATGCCAGGCAGTGGCCGGAGGACTGAGGACTGCCAGCTCTTTCATCCAGAGCCAGGGATGCCCCAGCCGGCTCCAAGCTCCTCCCCTGTCCCTCCCCACTGCCTCTGCTCCACCCAAGCCCCGCTCTTTCCTGGACCAGCCACCTGCACAGGAAATGAAGCATCTTAAACCCATATGAAACCACTGGCCTCCCTGTGGTGGGGGCTCAACACCCCAAAGACCCATCCTCTCCAGCCATCAGCATCTGTGCCCACCCCACCCGCCCTGCTCTCCCAGCTCTCACCTGGAAAGGGGGCCCCCAGGAGAGCTCACTGTCCGAGGCTGAGCAGAAAGAGACTGGAAGGTGGGGTCTGCGGGAGCCACTTAGGTCTGGAAAGCAGGGGATGGGCCCAGAGCAGCAGCAAACGGAAGAGCCGTGCCCCCCATGACAGGGCCTTTTGCAATCTCCCAATGCCAGTATGACAGGAATACCCAGTCCGGCTGAAGTGGTTGGACAATCTGAGGAATGCCCCAGGCCCCATCATGACCTGGCAGGGGCGTGGTTTGTTCTTTGAAACAGCCCTTCAAAGCGGCCGCCCCAGCCCTGGGCTGGTGCTGGGGGATGAGGCCTCTGGGCTGGCAGTCGGGAAAGGGGGCTCCCATCTCCAGGGCCCGGTTGGTGGGGAGGGGGTCTGAGCTCCGAGACCCACTCCTTCCACAGAGGAAGTCTCAGGAGGGGCGGGCTTCTGTCCCCTCTCGGCACCACAGCCCAGCAGCTGCCCTGGAGCTGGGGAATGAGACAGAGCCAGGAAGACTGGGCACACACAGATCACAGCCATCTTTTATTGAGCTTTCCCGCTGCGCCAGCCTTGCTGCCCTCACAGACACCATCTCTGGTGCTCACAACACCCGGAGGTAGGAACCATCATTATCTGTCTCACAGACAGGTCCCCAATGCTCCGAGGCACACACTCACCCAGGGTCACGGGGGTGAGGCAGTGCTGCACCTGGCGCCTCACCCCTCCTCCAGTGCAGGCTGCTGCCTCACCGGTGAGCCACGCCCGGACTGCAGGGACCTCCTGCTCCGGTCCGCCTCCAGAGATCCTGCACAGCTGGTCGCAAGCCGAGCTGGGCCAGGGGCCAGCACGCTCTGACTCCACGTTGCCTCTAGAATTGACCTGGCCCGGGAGAGGCGCCACCTTTTCCACACGTTGTCATGGGCAATATTCATTCACCAGGCCTCCATCAGGCAAGGCCCGAGGCCTTCGTGAGGGAGTCGAGCAGCTGGAAGTAACTGTACTTGAGGTCATACTCCATGTCATACCAGAAATTCACTGCAGGGAGAACAAGACCTGAGCACAAGGGTCCCCCTTCTGACCTCCAGCCTCCCTGACCCACCTCCTCACCAGCAATGCAGCCATGGGACTGCCGGACATGGTGGAACCACAGGGCCGGCAGGTAGAGCATCTCACCAGCCCGCACCGTGCAGCGAAGGGCCTGGGCCTGGCTGTAACTGGGGTACCGAGCCAGATCTGGAGCCAACGGGTCCAGGGGGATCCAGGGCACCTGGGGACACGGTGGATGCCAGGGAACAGGCTCGAAGCCCCCGGCCCTCTAATTCCATCTTTTCCAAAGGTAAACACCATGGGCCCTGCCCTGCTCAGCACTGGCAGGCCCCAGACTTAGGGGTTTTTCAGAGCAAGGTGCCACCACCCCAGCTCTTTTGTGCCTGCTCCTCAGAGTCCAGGTTCCCACCCTTTCCCTCTCCCTGGGGCCCAGGAACAAGACACACACCTTCTCCATGGCCTCCTCATCCACCATTTTAAAGGAGCCCTCTTCAGTGAGCTGGTAGGTTGCTGGCGTGTACATCTCTGAAACCAGAGGGGGGAAGGTATGGGGACCCTCAGGTGGCCTACAACCTGCCGGTCACAGCCACTTGCTTGTTCCCTGGCACAGGGGCAGGGTCAGGAGTCCCCGTGCAGTAGAGACACTGTCCACACCTCAGGCCCGGGCACTAGCCAGCCCAGGGCCCTTCCACCTTGGGCTGCGTGCGCCCCAGAGCCCCGCAGGCCGAGCCCCTTACCACAGGGGATGAAGGGCCGGTCACTGGGCGGATGCAGCAGGAAGTGTTTCTCTCCCGAGACCACACAGTAGAGGTTCTCATAGTGGTCCTTATGCACTGCCAACACAGAGGAGCCCCGGGAGGGATGTGAGGGGCCAGGCACAGGAGGGGCAAACAACCATGCGGACACCTGGCACCCCAAGACAGCTTGTGGGTAAGAGAAGAGCACGCCACGCCAGAGCAGAGAGGGGGTGCCAAGGTGCCTGGTGGGTTGCAGGCATTTCTGATCTCTGCCCTCCAGGGACTGACACTTGCCAGGCCCTGGGCTCATCTCCACTGAGGAGAATTCTAGCAAACAGGGCTCCCCCGAGTTCACCCCTGACCTAGATGGCCTTTGCGAACCTTTCTAGGGACGAAGAAACAATGCCCTCACCCCCAATGCTATGGGTACCTTCCCCACCTGAGCTGCCAGGGGGACCCCCTCTTGCGTGTGAGCCTAGAATCCCAGAAGAAATCTTAGAGGAAAGTCAGTCTAACTTCTGTAAGGCCCAACCTTCCACCCTTGGTCTCCTCCCCACCTGATACCTACGCGATGTCACTGCAGCCGCCTCCCCCAGCCAGAAGTTCACAGCATCAGGCATCTTTCCTGCAGGTGGGAGGGAAGAGGGAGAGTTAGGAGGGGGGCCTGAAGGTGAGGCTTGGAGTAACCACCTTACAGCAATGCTGGGCCAGGACGTGGGTGGGCCTTGGCCACGCTTTCTAGGGACCCAGAAGAAACAGGGAGAGAGCAGAGGGAAAGGGCAGAGGCGGGCCACTGGCGAGGGGCAGCCACCTTCCATTCATTGAGGTGAAGCTGAGGCCTGGGGACTTGAGCGTTCAGTGCACAGCACCTGACCCTGCAGGGCCAAGAGTGTGGGCCGAGTCATCAGTGACGAGAAGAAGCAGGTCCCCCATCTCCACTCACCCAGCGCCTCGGAGGCCCAGGGCACGTGGGGCTCCAGATCAGACAACAGCTGGGGCAGCTCGGTGGGGAGGTTGGAGCACTGCTTCTGGACGTAGAGGACTCCCGGGTGTTGGGCTCGGCCCTCCAGTACGTCCAGCACGCAGCTCAGGGGCAGGCGGCGCTCGGCGGGCATCACAAAGCGGTCCCCTCGCACGGCATCCGCGTAACCATCCGGGGTCACCGCCACACTCACCTCCGTGGAGCCCGCTGCGGCTCTGGAAGAACGGACGTTCGGCCCACGCCCAGATGCCACAAAGCACCACCCACATCCCCCGGGGCGGCCCCCACCTGAGGTAGGGGAGCGACCACTTCTGCAGGGCTGGCCAGTGCTGCAGGGCGTGGCGGATGATGCAGGGCCTGTTGGGGCAGACCCAGTCCCGGTAGAAGTGGAGTGGAGTTGGGGGCTGGTCCAGGTAAGGCACAGCAAGAGGCACGTTGAGCTCTGAGAGAAAGAGGGGAGCGGGGGCTGAAGCCAGTAACATCCTGCCGCTGCCCCACCGCCTGCATCAGAGACGCCCTCCGGGTAGGCCACCCCGTGTCCCTAGACAATGCCCACGGGTGACCAAGGGGTCCTGGACAATCAGAAATAGAGGAGGGACATTTAAGGGACAAAGCGTGACGTACTCACAAACACACCACTCTGGGTCACAAGAGTTGACAGGGCCAGGACTACTGTTCAGCCCTTAATCCCAACCCTCCATGGACCATGCCTGGCCTGTACCATGGACCATGCCTGGCCTGTACCATGGACCATGCCTGGCCTGTACCATGGACCATGCCTGGCCTGTACCATGGACCATGCCTGGCCTGTACCATGGACCATGCCTGGCCTGTACCATGGACCATGCCTGGCCTGTACCATGGACCATGCCTGGCCTGTACCATGGACCATGCCTGGCCTGTACCATGGACCATGCCTGGCCTGTACCATGGACCATGCCTGGCCTGTACCATGGACCATGCCTGGCCTGTACCATGGACCATGCCTGGCCTGTACCATGGACCATGCCTGGCCTGTACCATGGACCATGCCTGGCCTGTACCATGGACCATGCCTGGCCTGTACCATGGACCATGCCTGGCCTGTACCATGGACCATGCCTGGCCTGTACCATGGACCATGCCTGGCCTGTACCATGGACCATGCCTGGCCTGTACCATGGACCATGCCTGGCCTGTACCATGGACCATGCCTGGCCTGTACCATGGACCATGCCTGGCCTGTACCATGGACCATGCCTGGCCTGTACCATGGACCATGCCTGGCCTGTACCATGGACCATGCCTGGCCTGTACCATGGACCATGCCTGGCCTGTACCATGGACCATGCCTGGCCTGTACCACGGACCCTTGGCTTTCCACTCCGGAGTGGCCAACCTCCTGGCATCCAGTAGGAAAGGCAGCACGGAGGTGGTACTGGGAGCTCCAGAATGAGTAGAGCTGAGGCCCAAGGTTAAGGGCTGGGCTGAGGCTGTGTAAAGCACCTTCTAACAGCGATACTTACTGAGCACCTCGAATGTGCTCAGTACTTGGCTTGGCCAATGTGGAGGTTTCAAGGGATGAGCCAATCATCATCTCAGGGAGCTTACAACCTAAATGGAGAGACTGACTGCCTCACAAAACCACAGGAGGAAAAGCGAACAGCATCACCATCCTCAGACACCCAGGGTGCCGTGTGCACTGGGCAGGTTGTGCAGTGTGCCACCTGGGCAGGTGTCTGTAGTGGTCCTGGGTCACCTGAATAAAAATCTCCTTCTCCCTCACTCCTGTCATCCTATTGACTGTCTCTGAGTCCTATTGATTCTACCTCCTAATGTCTCTCAAACCACCCCCTCCTCCTTTGCCCTGCTGGTGTTCACATTCACCAACCTCCTCTGGGTCCTCAAATGTCACCTCAATGAGGCTTCCCTCCATGGCCCCCTCTTTTTTACTTATTGGGGTGACATTGGTTCACAAAACCATACAGGTTTCAAGCGTATAACTCAACAAAGCATCATCCGCACACTGCATCGTGTGCCCATCGCCCCCAGCAACGTCTCTTTCCATCCCCTTTCCCCCTTTGACCACCTCTACCTCCTCCGACCCCGCTTTCCCACTGGCTATGACCACACTGTTGTCTATGACTATGTGGACTTTTTTGTTTTGTTTTGTTTTCTTGTGCCTGTGGGGTTTTTTTCTTAATCCCTTCACCTTCTTTCATCCAGTCCTCCAACCCCCCTCCCCTCTAATAGCTATCAGTCTGTTCCATGTACCTATGCCTCTGTTTCTATTTTATTCATCCATTTATTTTGTTCATTAGATTCTACATTCGAGATCATATGTTATTTGTCTTTCTCTGACTGGATTATTTCACTTAGCATAATAATCTCCTGGTCCATCCATGCTGTTGCAAAAGGTAAGATTTCCTTTTTTGCGGCTACGTAGTATTCCATTGTGTAAATGTACCACGACTTTTTTCTTTTAATATATTTTTATTGATTTTTTTACAGAGAGGAAGGGAGAGGGATAGACAGTTAGAAACATCGATGAGAGAGAAACATCGATCAGCTGCCTCCTGCACACTCCCTACTGGGGATGTGCCTGCAACCAAGGTACATGCCCTTGACCAGAATCGAACCTGGGACCTTTGAGTCCGCAGGCCGACGCTCTATCCACTGAGCCAAACCGGTTAGGGCTGTCCCACAACTTTTTTATTCACTCATCTACTGATGGGCACTTGGGCTGTTTCCAGATCTTGGCTACTGTAAATAATGCTGCAGTGAACCAGGCCACCCTTTAAAAAACTGTAACCTTCTCCCAATAACCCTTATACCCCTTCCTTTATTTTCCTTTTTCAAAAAACTTGATTTTAGAGAGGGAGAGAAACATCGATGTGAGAGAGGTTCATAAATTGTTTGCCTCCCATATGTACCCCAACCAAGGATTGAACTCAACCAGGGATCAAACTTGCAACCTACGTATGTGCCCTGGACCAGGACTCAAACCTGAGACCTTCCAGAGCACAGGACTTACACTCCAGCAAAATGAGCCACACCAGCCAGGCCCCTGTACTTTTCTATCATTTATCACCATCTAACACACTACGTATTTCCCTTATCCAAGTGTTTATTAGTCTCTCTCTTGGTAGAATGTGAGCTCCATGAGGGCAGGGATGCTTGTCCTGTTCACTGGTGCCTCCCCGGGAACCAGAGTGGTTCTGAGCACACAGTGCGTGTTCAGCAAATATTTGCTTAGTGGTTGGATGAAAGTCTCCATCTCCTGGCAGGATGGTTGCTACAGTGAACCAACTTGTTTCCTTGGCTTAATTCTACTTCCTTGCAAAGCATCACTCACCCTGGCCCCAGTCATTTCCTAAGATACAATCTCATCTTGTCACACCCCCAGTAAGAACATCCTCTGATGACTTACCTCTTACTCCTCACAGAACACTGCCTGCCTTGTCACACATTCAGGCCCAGCCTCCTTTCCCGTCTGTGCCTGGTGCCTGCCCCTTACCGCACACTCCTCAGGCAGCGCCAAACTTTGTTCCTGCTGCCCACTCAGTCTAGAATGCCTTGCTCCTGGCTTTTGTAAAGGGTAGAGGGCTTTACTTTGTTATTTTCATCCTTGAGGTCTAGCCTGTCTTAACCCGCCATGGGGGGTTACCGCCTCCTGCTCCAATCGGCCACTGCATTCATTTTCCCTCTGGGGTCATGCTCTGTCTCTCACAACCGCATCTCACGGGTCATCTTTGCCTTGCTTTGCAATCAGTTGGAAAGTGAATGTCATTAGATCAAAACTTGGAACTGAGTGGAAAAACAGACCCTGGTGGGCCCAGGAAAACAGAAATGGAAGAGCTGGCCTGTGTGCTTGCTTCATGGACAGAGGGTAAGATGAAACCTGCCAAGCAGATAAGGGAGCAGAGGGGAGAAACTGGCGAAGGGCCTTCCCAGTCATGTCAGCCCATTAAAGCAGTCACCCTGGGGTGGGGCTGGAGTGGGGGTAATACGGGGCTCAGTAAATCTCCCTCTTGTCCTCGCTAGGATTTCTTAAGTACAGGAAAACGGACTTTTTTCTTTTTTTAACCCTTTGTAGTTTCTGTAGTTATTTCAGTTTTACTTCCTCAGCATTTAATAGTTCTTCCTGTAGAGCAGGGGTAAGGAACATCGGCCTGCCGCATAAGGCGGGCGTACAAGGCCACAAAAATCATGTGCTCCGGCCCTGCCAAGGCTTTGGGGTGAGTTAAATGTCTGACCCGGTACAGCAGGCTAATTTTTCAGTTGATAATTTGTATGGCCCGAGAATGATGTTATAAATACCCAAGTGGCCCTTGGCAGAACAAAGGTTCGCCGCCCCTGCTTTAGTGAATGGCCACTGTTTTCTCCTGGGTTTTTGAAGTGAGGGGATTTCAAACGGGATCCGAACAATCCCTTTGGCCAAATTCTTCTGCTAGAAATTTAGCCAATAACACTCACACATGTGCACAAACTCTGCTCCAGGCCCAATGCCTCAGCACTGCTCCTTGAACACACCAGGCACACTCCCACCTCAGGGCATTTGCCTGTCCCTGCCCTCTACCCTAATCTCTTCTCTCCTCCTCCAAGCCTGTGCTCAAATGTAGCCTTATTAAGGAGGCCCATCCTGACCATCTGACTTAAATTTGCAACCTGCCCTTAAGCCCTATACACTGAGGTCTACCCATTCTGCTTTGTCCCCCGCTCTCCCATAGCACTTATCCTGTAACACGTTTCTTTACTATATAATCTACTCACTCAGTGTGCCTATGACTCATGGTCTGTCTCCTCACTTGGAATTGTAAGCTCTATGAGGACAGAGATCGGTCATGTATCCTAAACACACTGAACAGGCCCTGGCACACTGAAGTGCTTTAAGTACAGTCATGAGCCACTTAACAATGTTTTGATCAACAATGAACTGCAAATGCCACGGTGGTCCCATAAGGTTTGTGGTGATGCTGGCAGTGACATAAAAGTACGTACAGCACATACAATTATAGTAGCAGGCTATAATATGTAGGTGTGTGTAAATGCACTCTATGATGCTTGCCCAACAACAAAATCACCTAGCCTCACATGACTGTATCTGCAAAATGAATGCTCAACGTATTCGTTGCAGCACTACTGGAAACAATAGATTGGAAATGACCTAAATGTCCAATAAGAGTGGGCTGATTAAGTAAATTACAGCACTAGTACCCAGGTGTGAAAAAGATTGCGGTACAGGGATATGGAAGGATCTCCAAGATACATACCCAGAAGAGTATGTTTAACAGGCTATCATTTGTATAAAAAGGGAGGTATACAGTTTTGTGTGTGGATACAAACAGCATTTTTGTGTTGTTGTTACTCTTCACCCAAGTATATTTTTTCCACAGATTTTTAGAGTGGAGGGGGAGGGGGGGACACACATAGATTGGTTGCCTCCTGCACAAGCCCTTGACCGGAATTGAACCCACGACCCTTCAGTGCACAGGCCGACGCTCTAACCAGTGAGCAACACTGAGCCACACCGGCCAGGGCTAAACAGTATTTTGGAAAGATGCAAGCTGGGGCTTAGGATGGGAGGAAAGCTTACTTTACATTATAAATCCGTTATTTTTTAAGTCATGTGCCCATGTTCCATTCATTGGCGAGAAATCGCTTAAAAATAGAAAGGGGAGAGCGGAAGGGAGGGAAAAAGAAGGGAGAAAAATAAAAACCAAGCGGCGGAGGCCAGGGGTCACTGGCACCGCCGCCGCCGATTCGCCCCGAGCTCTGCCCGCCCCCGCTGGGAGGAGTCGCTCTTGAATCGAGTTCCAGCAGCGGCTCAGGGAGGGAGAGTCCCACCACCCGGAGGACTTCGCGACCGGAAACGGGGGGGGGGAGGGGGGCAACGGGCCCCTGGCTATCAGCGCGGGCCGGCTGTGGGGCACAGGACGGCACCCGCACGGCCAGTCCCTCAGGAGCCCACGGGGGTGCGCAAACACGGGCGGAGGAGGTTCGGCAGAAGAGTGATCCGAGAGGAGGCATCAACCAGCTCCGTGCACGAGGTTTTGCGCTCCTCGAGGGTAAGAACTAGGGCGCGCCCTGGGGTCAGCGGCCCAGGAAGCACCGGGGCCACGCGACTCGGGGACCCAGGCCCGGCGTGCCTCCCACGCCCTGAGACTGACCTGCAGTCAACGCCAGGCACCACAGCCTCAGCGAACCCACTCACCCCTTACCGCCGCCGGGAATTCTCGTAACTCCCTCCGCACGGCGTCCAAAGCCGCCTCCGCCATGACGCCGCCGCCCCGAAGCCCCGCCCTCCCTCCTGAAGGCCCCGCCTCTCCTCCTGAAGGCCCCGCCCCCCGCATGAAGGCCGGCCCTCCCCTCCTGAAGGCCCCGCCCTCCCCTCCTGAAGACTCCACCTCCCCGAGGCCCACGCCAGGGCTCTAGCTCCCCGCACTCCCAGGACTTCGCCGGGTCCCCACAGATGAAGCCGCTGCCTGGATCGAGCTCCCCTTCTCCCCGCCCCAGCGCACCCCCGATTCCACTATCCATGCAGCGAGCAAGAAGCGCCTTCTGTTGCCTGCCCCACTTTGCTGGCGTCGGAAAGTTAGCAAATGAATGTTTATTGACCAGTTCATACATCAATACAAACTGACATGTTAAAAACAGCCCCTGCCCATAAGACCTGGGGAGGGGGAAAGCGCCAAGGCCTGGACAAAGTATAAAAGTTATAAATAAGGGGCTTTCAAAACTGGGTCAGGGCAAATCTGAACAAGAACGGCAACTGCCGGTGGCCTCAGACATGCAGAAGGGGATGGGCGCCGGCCCAGCCACAGATTCCCCGCCTTCCCGCCCCCCAAAAAGCTGGGCTAGTAGTAGGAAAGGGCGGCCACCTTCTCACCAACATTAGCTGGAGTATTGCTTCCTCCTTGTGAGGGACAGGCTGGCTAAGGATTACCAAGAACCCAGCCAGCCCACAGGGCCCAGCCTGAGCCCTATCCGGGATGGGCTGTGGCCGGTATGCCAGCTGGGGCTGGGGTACAGGTGGAAGTGTGTTTCTAACCGACTAGCATAGCTGCAGCCCTACCAGGGGGTCCACCCTCAGCTGTGAGAGTTCTTGGGCCCAGGGTTTCTCTGTAGATTGGCCATAGAGGTGGTGGTAGTAGAGAACAGTAGGGGTGAAACAGGCTTCATCTGTTCAGGTGCACTCAGGCTGACCCAAACAGAGCTGGGCCCCCTTCAGAATCCAATTCTCAGCCTCTGCCTATAGAGTCAGTAGGGCCCAAAGGCCTGTCCATAGGAGAATGGGCTTGTGTGGCCTGGAGCTACATACAGTAAAGCTGCCCCGCCTTACCTGAGGCAGGGGAAGCAGTAGGGCCGAGACACACATTCTTCACCCCAACACATCAATAACTGCTCCACTACTTGGTCCTACTCTCCCTGCCCACTGTGCCCTGTCTCCTTCCCCTCACCCTGAACTGCCCTTCCAATTCTCATCCTTCCCCTCACCTCTACCACTTACCTGCCCCTCCTACCACCTTTCCAATGTGTCTCTTGCCCCTGCTGCAGCCCCATGTGCCTCCCTCCCCTCAACCTCCAGCATCCAGAGCACCCTGGGTGCCCAGCACTACCTTTGAGGAGGCTCCCTCTACCCAAACCGAGTATCCTTTGGGCCATCTCATATCATCTAGGCTGTGGACACCAAGAACCCAGAATTTGGGTTTAGTGTGTTCCACCCCTTTTCGTGCTTCTTGATAGGCATTCCCCATGAGCCAGGGTGGTGAAGTCGGGTAGGACATGAGAGGAAACCAGGCACACATGAGTCAGTCAAGTACTCTAGCAATGAACATGCAACAGGTGTGTGTGTGTGTGTGTGTGTGTGTGTGTGTGTGTGTGTGTGTGTGTATTTCATCTGTGGCCAAGGTCTTTAGAAGGTGGGCCAGTGCCCTGTAAACCACGAGGGAAACTCCAACACAGGCTTCTAAATGAGCATCACTCAGGATGCAGGGAGATGGCTTCTGGGCTCCAGCAGCCTGCTGGGGACCAGAGTTGGAGGATAGGGAAGGCCAAGGGGCCGAGGAAAGGAGCCAGAGCTTCATTTCTGCCTAGCAGAGGGCTTTACTGTCCTGCAGCAATGTCCCACCGCTGGCTCCACAAGTTCTGGCCAAGACAGAAAGGGGGCACAGGGAAAAAGACAATGCTAGGGCCCTCTTGGAGGGGGAATAGGAGTGGAATGTGGGGGCTTAGGCCTTGATACATTCTTGATGGCTGGGAATGCCCTGAAGGGCCAGAGGGCTCTGCCTTTCTGAACTGCCAGGAATTGGAGAAAAATGGATAAACCCTGCTCTGGCAGCCAGGGGAGTGCAGCTGGTGTGGGAGGGGAAGTGGAGGTAGAGGAGAGGCTCTGCTATTGGCTGAAGGGTATTGAATACCACATTACCTCTCACCTCTACCTACAAAATACCCTGTGTGTGTGCTCCACCCCAGGGAGCTGATCCCTGCAGTAATTTCAAATGGCTTCTAAGAAGAGAGAGGGCCAGCCCTTCCTAGATGGGGCAGGCCACCCTCCTACTCCTCACAGCACCAAGATGACAAAGACCCAAGACCTAACCCCTGCGTGAGCTACTGGAGGAGTTGTGGAGGCAGGAGTTCCAAGGAAGTGAGGCAACAGTCAGGGAAATAAATTAATAAATACAGGGGCCCCATGAGGAGCAGCTGGGAAAGCTGCTTCCCCTCTGAGCATTGATCACTGCTATCCACTCCAAGCATCCCCACAGGTTTTAGTGAGTGGAGAGGGGCTAGTTTGCAACAGGGGGAGCATTCACTTGGAACAGGCTTCTGGAGGTCAGAGTCTGCGTTCCATGCGACGCTCCACAGCTCGAAGCAGCAGCTCTGAGTATTGCTCTAGTAGGGCCTGTGTTTGCTCAGCTCCCACAGCCCCAGGGCTTCCACTGGGGCTGGGCAGCACTGTCCCGGCCAGGGCCTCTAGTTCCTGCCGCACTGAAGAGAAGGTGCGTCTGAGGAGCTGGGTGATGCGACTTTGCTCCACCGAGGGTGTCTTGCAGCTAGCCACCTGCAACAGGACCCCAGAAGTGGGTTGGAGGAACAGTGGAGGGATCTGTCAATGGATGTATGAAAAGGAGGGGCTCCACCTGGGTAGCCCACCCCCAAAGAAGGGACTACATGCCCAGCTGTGTGACTGGGAATCCCACACTCCAAGATCAGCAAGTATGACCAAAGGCTATGGGATGGAGGCAGACTCTGAAGTGACCCCAAAAAGAGGAGCACATCACATTATGGCACCATCTAAATTTTGTAACTCCTCTTTAAGGCCAATAGTCCAGGGCAGCCAAATAGTTTTTAAATATGAAAAGGGATATTATTAATAATTACATTGCGACAAGAGGCATAAACTGGGATGGTCCTAAGCAAACTAAGACACGTGGGCTCACTACCCTGCCTTCTGATATGAGGAAGTCACTAGCTCTTAGTCAGAAATAACCAGTAGGTGCTTGGTTCAAGTGGCCTGACCTGGCCTCTCACCCCCTCGCCTCCTCCGCCCAGGATGTTCTTAATTGCTCCACCCCCACCAGTGGAAAAGCCTTCGCATTAGATTCCGGACACTGAGCTAGCACTCCTGACGTGGGTGGGTGCCCAACACGTACCAAGTGGTAGAGCTGTACGGCCTGGCGCACACTGCCCTGGAGCTCTGCCACAAGCTGCTCACACTGCTCCAGGCTTACCACTGGTTCTGGAAGAGACAGATACAGCTCAGGCCCAGCAAACCTGCCCTTTCTGGCCTCCCCACCCATGGCTGCTCAGAGCAAGACAGGCTACCCCCAGCATCATACCCCCTCCACTTGCCCTCAGTCTCTTCCTCTTGCCTCTTCCTTCCCAACACCCTCCCGACACACAGAAAACAAGGTCCAAAGGAAAGGGCCAGTCCCAGAGGCCAGAAGGCACTGAGGTCAAGTGGGTCAGAGAGGTCATGAAGGTTGGCAGGAGTGTCTCACCATCAGGGGTGTGACTTATGGACCGAGACAGGAGCAGACAGGACGAAAAACGCCAGAGGCTGGACGCACAGAAATGGAATGGAGCCAGAGAGCGGCCAACAGAGACGGGGGAGAGAGGATGGGTCAGGAGATGAAAGCTGGGGAGCTGTGCACACCTGCGGCCTGGCTTAGGGCTGCCCCTGGCCTGGTGCACTCCATGGGGTTGGGAGTCTTCTCAGGGGGTGGGGGCTGCAAGATCTCGGGGTCTTGGAGGAGGCTGCCAACCGGCAGGTGCTGGGCACAAGGGCCGTTGGACCCAGGCTGAACCTGGCACTCTGTCCTAGGCCGGGGAGGAGTACCCTCCCCTAAACAGGCCTGTCTCTCAGATAAGCTGTGAGCCTTTCCTAGGCCCACTGGGGAGCCAGGCTGTTCTGCCTCACTAGGGGTCCGGCCCTTGGTAACAGGTGAGAAGGTGGCCAGGGTAGGACGATCAGGAAGTGGCTTTGGAATGTCCAGGACCAGGTGAGCCCGGCTGGGCAGGGCCAGCTGCCTGAGTGGTGGGACCCGGATGGGGGCAGGAGCTTGAGGTTCAGCCGCCAGGCCCAGGTTCTCCCCGACAGAGATGCTGCGGGAAATCTTGGCCATGGAACTGGTGGTGGGGTTCTGGTAGGAGTGGGGCCGGGACAGAGACAGCCGGTCATCAGCCTGCGGCAGGGAACGTAGGCCCTCCTGGGCTTCCATCTCCCGTAGGAGTAATGGGCCTGGCAGAAGAGCCCCACCTACAGAGACGACAGAAACATATGCAGGTCAGGTGGTAAGGAAGGTGTCTCAGATGCCAAGGCTCAAATACCTGCTGAGCCGTGCACACACCCACTAAAGCAGTGGTCACCAACCAGTGGTCCGCGAGGTCCGAAAGGTTGGCGACCGCTGCACTCAAGGACACCCAGTGGTAAGCAGAGTGGCACGGAGGGCGGCATCAGGCTTTCCTTTAGCAGCTCATGCTCCACTCCCCACACCCTGGCGCTGAGCCCACCAGGCCCCTCACCCTGTGGCGCCAGGCTCTGCATGGACGGGGCTTTCTGGAGTCCATCACAGGGGCTGGCTGTGGCCATGCTCTTGGAGATCCAGCTGCTGTCCGCATTGACACGGCGTCGTGGCAACAGCACAGGGGCTGCCTGCTGGGGACCAGGGTTTCTAGGGGAGGGCTCCACCTCTGGGGGTGCTCCTGGAGGATTAGCACCATTGCCTCTCAGCTGCTCACCAGAAGCCTGCGGCACCTGGACTGGCTTCAACGTCAGTGGCAGGCTTGAGGAAGATGGGG